GGGAGAAGCAGGCTCCCCGCTGAGTGAGGATCCCCATGCAGGATGCGATCCCAGGACACTGGGGTCATGGCCTGAGCCAAAGGCTGATGCCCAACTGAGTCACCCAGGCGTTCCAATAAATACAGTCTTTAAAAAGAATAAAATATAAATAAATCTTTAAAAATTAAAATAAAAAAATGAAATAAACTAGCTATTACAGCACATGGACTCTGTGGTGTCTCAGTCAGTCAGATGGGAGCCCCAAACGTGGGTCAGTGATTGGGTGGAAGCCAGTCAAGGGGGCACTGAAAAGAATTCACCTGAGGCCGAACAAAGGATATAGAAGTTTATTGAATACACTGCAAAAGAGCACCAGGCAGGGGAGCAGAGGACAGGCTGTCTGCAAGGAGCAGTGGGTGGGGGGTTTTCTTAAAGGGGGAAGGTGAGAAGTTATGGCGACATATGGAACTTCCCCTTTTTTGGTCTATGTCGCCGGTTGTCAGAAGCCCATTGGTTACTTAGGCCCTATGGCTGTTGTGAGGTGGGTCCCCTGTTGGGCCCATCTGGACTCAGCCAAGGGGTCGCTGTGGGCCCTTTCTCCATTCCTTTGCTCAAGCCTGCTTGCCTTAAAAGCAGCCTGTACAGAAACTATAGGTGATTGGATTGTGTGTGTGTGTGTATATATATATATATATCTCCATTGTATTTTCATAATTAGTTTGATATTCTGAATTACTGTTTTCAGACCACAAGAAAATACCAGTGATGGTGTGTCCTTGATGTGCCTTAGGGACTGATACCAATTTCTTTCCATGCAGCTGCTGTTAACTTCTTTTATTGGCTTGGTGGTCTCTGCCAGATCCCTCCCCTGTAATGTTCATAATTTCCCTCTTGTCATTTGTAAGGAACATAATATACTGAGCAATATGCAGAAACTATCACATTTCAGATGTAAACTTCTTTCTTCTGAGTTTCTTGCTAGAAAACATTTTCATATTTGAGAGAGAGAGAGAGCGAGAGAGCACATGGATCAGGAAAGGGGGAAGAGGGAGAAGCAGATTCTGCACTGAGTGGGGAGCCGAACTCAGGGCTCAATCCCAGGAGCCTGGGATCATGACCTGAGCTGAAGAGAGACCGTTAGTCAGCTGAGCCGTCCAGGTGCCCCTTCCTTGTAGTTTCTGATGAGGAGAACAAAGTCAAAACAAATGTGGACAAAATTAAATTTCCTTCAACTTCCAATCTGTTGATAAATACCCGAGATAGGCAGAGGATGACATTTCTCAGAAATTCACAACTGCCTCAATGTTAATGTTTTGTTGGAAGCAAAAAACAGCCTTAGCTTGACAATAGCCAGACCTCCAGGATCCTGTCATTTCTCGTTAACGTAGGAAAATCCCTTTGGAAATGTCCTCTATCTTTACCACCAAATAGATGTTGGCCATCATCCTTCAAGCATATGGCCCACTGAAAAATATCTGAAGGGTCTCATGACTAAAGTGTTACTAGACAGTAAGTGACCTCCTCATAACACCAGCTAGGCCCTCATGGTCCTGGAAACTTGCTTCCAAATTCCTGAGAGCCTTGTGCTATCCCTCACCCCCTCCGCACTTGAAAGCATATAATCAGTCACTGCTCACAACTTCAGTTCAATTCTTTCTACCCACAGGTCCTCTCCCCGAACTTTAAGACTACGTTTTTTGCACCACAGCTATCTCAACAATTCTTTCTTCATCATTCATTCCTGAACCCCAACATTTCCATCAGAAACATCTCAAGAATGCTTTCTTCACCATTGGCTCCGTTCCCACATCCCAACAGTTTGCACTAACAAGGAGGGCACTCACCTCTGTGTAGTTGATAAAGTTGACTTCTGGGAGCGAAACTTTCCAATCAGTCAGCCCTCCATCCCACAGGTTTTTCTTTTACTCCGCACTCACGTCACAGAGCAGGAAAGGTCAGGTCTGGTTCTAGGTGGTGACACTAACTCCCTCTCTCAACTTAGGGACCGTTGTGAACCCTACCAATGGCCACTTGGTCACTGTAGTATTTATTGCAGGCACTGCTGACATTCAGGGATGTGGCCATAGAATTCTCCCAGGAGGAGTGGAGATGCCTGAACCACACTCAGCGGCAACTGTACAGGGATGTGATGTTAGAGAACTACGGACACCTCCTCTTCCTGGGTGAGAATAACTCCTTCCAGATTTCCCAAACCACACTCAGGGTTTTGTTCCTTCCTTTGAAGACTGTCTCTTGGATGATTCCTCTTTGAATGACTGGAATTCAGATCGAAGCAGAAAGGGAAATAAGTAGGGGTTTATAGATGTAGAGAAACACCTTCATGATGTGTCCTTTTCAGTCTTAGCTTCCCCTTCCTCAAGGTAACATCATCACTTCTGTAGATGAGTGACAGTTCTAAACACTTAGTGGCATAGAATGATACTGCTTACATCTTAAACTGAAATTTCCAGTTATTATTATGTCTACTACTTGAAAATGGAGGTCAGGATGTGAACATTGGAAATGCCTCCTGTGTGTTCTAAAGGGCCTGTTGGGCAACAGCTTTTGGGAAACCATTTTCTAGAATTCTACAGTGTCCTCTCTTCTGTACTGAACACAATCCTGATGGAAAGTTAGAATCTACAGCAATACTCACTTTCCTTTTTCGTATAAACAGGTCTCACTCTGTCAAAGCCAGACCTGATCATGTTTTTGGAGCAAGAGAAGCAGCTCTGGGACGTGAAGAGAAAGGAGACAGTAGCCTTTCATCCAGGTAGGTGGGAATGAGTGAGGCAGATGACAAGGGGGAGGTCCAAGTCTGAAGGAGGAGGGTAGACCTTAAGCTGTGGTTCGAGTAGCTCTCCTTGAATGAAAATCAGTTGGAGACGCCCAGTTTGATTTCTCTCTCTCTCACAAAGAGATATCTGCTAGCCAACATTATCATGCTCTTATATTCTCTAGTGATTCTCCTTCAGCTCCAATGATGGTCCATCACATCCGCAGGGAGGGCCAGGAGACTCTCCTTGGAGTGGGAAGGCCTCTATAGTCTGCGAGCTTCTCAATAGCTGTGAGGGCCCTGGGAAAATCATCCTATTTCTGAGGAACTCTATGCTAAGCCCTTGGTAAATTCTGTGTTTCATCATGGGAGAAGTAAGCCAGGGTAGTTGTATGCACATTGGGGTTTGGTGGAGAAATTCCTGGAACACTGGAGACAGATTTCTAATGTTTTATGGTTTATGCTTTCCAATGTTACGGAGGCTTTATTTTTTTATTTTTTTAAAGATTTTATTTATCTATTTGAGAGAGAGAGAGAATGAGAGGTAGAGAGCACGAGAGGGAGGAGGGTCAGAGGGAGAAGCAGACTCCCCGCGGAGCAGGGAGCCCGACGCGGGACTCGATCCCGGGACTCCAGATCATAACCTGAGGCAGTCGCTTAACCAACTGAGCCACCCAGGCCACCCGTTACGGAGGCTTTAATCTTAATCTTGTAAAATTGAGACCCAGTAACTTCATCAGATAACAAAGCACCTCCCTAAATTGAGAAAATGTACTCTTCTATTTTCCTTCAAAAGTTCATTCTTGGGGCGCCTGGGTGGCTCAGTCGTTAAGCGTCTGCCTTCAGCTCAGGTCATGATCCCAGGGTCCTGGGATCGAGCTCCACATCGGGATTCCTGCTCGGCGAGAAGCCTGCTTCTCCCTCTCCCACTCCCCCTGCTTGTGTTCCCTCTCTTGCTCTCTCTGTCAAATAAATAAATAAAATTAAAAAAAAAAAATTCATTCTTTTTCATATTAACTAATACAGAAGTTTCCACTCTATGAGTTCCATTCCTCAATGGTGAAATAATGTAATGTCTCTATTTGTTTCCTAGAATTCCTACATAAATAATGCTATTGGGGAACTAGCACATTTAGAACTCAGAACTTGTAGCCTTTAATAAAGTTTCAATGATTACCTTATTTTTTAATAATCACATCATTTTATAATTCTGTCTTATATGAAGTTCTGGTGACTTTGTCATGTGTGTTTTCACTTTCTAATTAGTTAATATGAGATTTTTAAGATTTTATTTCTGTGAGACAGAGAGAGAAAGAGAGAATGAGCAGGGGAAGGGCAAAAGGAGAGGGAGAAGCAGACTCCCTGCTGAACAGGAAGCCCAGTGTGGGGTTGGATCCCAGGACCCTGAGTTCCTGACCTGAGCTGAAGGCAGACGCTTATCTGACTGAGCCACCCAGGCACCCCAAGCCCCCATATTTCAAAAATCCTTTTGTTCAGTAATGTAATTTTACTTCATAGGAAATTAATGACTAGGTTTTTCTTCTACTTTCCTCAGTATGTATCAGAATTTAATCCCAAGAATTAATTTCATATATAGTGTCAGCGTATTTTACAACTTTCATCGTGTTTGTTTATTTAGAAATGAAGATGCTGTTTGTGTCCTCTGTCTTAGAGTGGATTATAGCCTTACGTTCTGTGTAGGAGGAGGAATATATTAATAATGAAATACATTTCTTTCAAGTTTTTTAAGTGTTCATAAAATTTTCATTTATACCTTTTTATGATTGATTTTAATGAATAGTCTTTACAATTTTATGGTCATTGAAGACATGCCAGTCAAATGCTTGTTTTTCATGGGTACATGAACACAGTTTAAAATTATAGTTATACAGAAGTTTTCCTTTTATGCAATACATCAATTTTTTATTTAGAATTTCTTGGGTTAAATTTTATCTTTTCTGGTTCAGTAATTCCATAATAATGTGCTTCTTTTGTCTGGGACTTTTTTTTTTTTAAGATTTTTATTTATTTATTTGAGAGAGAGAGAATGAGAGATAGAGAGCACGAGAGGAAAGAGGGTCAGAGGGAGAAGCAGACCCCCCGCTGAGCAGGGAGCCCGATGCGGGACTCGATCCCGGGACCCCAGGATCATGACCTGAGCCGAAGGCAGTCGCTTAACCAACTGAGCCACCCAGGCGCCCATGTCTGGGACTTTTGACAACATTAGTTAGGTGTGGATTGGGTTACCTATCTGTTTTCTTTTCTTCCTCCCTGAGCATCTTTATGATGGTAATTTGAATTCTTTGTCAGAGAAAATATATATATATTTTTGGCAATGTATGGTTCTTTATTAACTTAGGGCAGTTTTGGAGATGATTTTGTTCCTCTGATTGGAACATATTTTCCTATTTCTTTGTATGCCTTCTGGTCTTTGGGTGGTATTTGGGAATTTAAAAAACAGCCTGTGGGCCCAGGATTATGGACTTGTATTCTTTAGGAGTACACAAATAATAGTAATTCTGGGTTGTGTCACACGTGTTCTGGGCATTTGTCACGTCTGCATTTGTGTAATTTCCCAGGTTAAGAAAGTGGAGTTACTACCTTAGAACACGTGATACCTTCCTCTCTCTTTGCCTTCAGCTCTGTAGTCTCTTCATTGTTGAGCAACTGCTCACCTTTTGTCTGAGCAGCCAGTACACTGCATCCAGAGGGTGCTCTCATTCCCTCTGTTTTCCATGTCAGGCAGGTGAAAAGGACCTGGCTAGGTCACTGAAGCTACAGGTCACTCATTTCTTTCTCTCCTGAGGAGAGGTAGGACTTTTCTCCGTGTT